ACAAATAAACTTTAAAGAAGTTAGATGTCTTTTAAACGTCACTTAAAGAAAACATTAATTTATACAGCACAGCAATTAGTATAAAACGCTGGTTTCAGAAGAATGACATCAGCAGGGCAGTGCCTGTGGCTCAAAGGAGTAGGGTGCCAGCCCCATATGCCAGAGGTGGCAGGTTCAAACCCAGCCCTAGCCAAAAACTGCAACAACAACAACAACAAAAGAATGACATCAGCATTTCAGGATTCTGACTTAATGAAATTTACTATTTATCATGGGCTAGTACTCTGAGAGTTTTGAAACCAAACTATCATTTAGAATTCAGGGGTATCCAACCCTTTTTACTTTTCTGTGAAATACTAGAAGATAAGAGTTGTCTTGGGCCACATAGTAAATACACAAACATTAATGATAACAAGAAAAAAGGTCCGTACCTACTCTTGCTGATATCCAACACCACCCTCGTGGTCCACAGGTTCTATACCCTGATTAGGCTGTTTTTAGCCCCTTACCTCTGGATACAATAGATTTAGTAATAATGTGAATCAATGGATTTCATTGAGTTCAAATGGTCAACTTAGAGGTGAGCAGTGATATATCAGGACATTTTTATGATAATTACTTTTTTATCATGGTAAAACATCCATTAAAATTTTAATCACTTTTACGTGTACAGTACTGTAACATGAATTACATGTACAAGGTGTACAACACTGAAGCATAAAGTACATTCACCTCATACAGTTGTCACCATCTCCAGAACTTTCTCATTTTTCCAAATGGAAAGAGACACTCTATACCAGCAATTTTCAACCGGTGTGCCACAAAACATCTTTAAAGATCATTAATTAAATTATATTCAGAAGACATTCAAAGCACAATAAATATATTCTTTTTTTTACCCTTTTTTTAAAATTGCAATTTAACTATGCCACAGAAGTTGAACTATAGGTAAGTGTGCTGTGAAATAAGAAAGGCTGAAAAACACTGCTCTATACCCATTAAATTCTACCCCTGCACAAGGCAATTCTTTTTGTCGCCTCTTACAGTAGTAGTCTGAATACTCTATGTACAAATACCTCATAAGTGAAATCACACAATACTTTTCCTTTTGTGTCTAGTTTATTTCACTTAGCCTTGTTTTCAAGGTTCATTCATGCTGTAATGTGTCAGAATTTCCCTCTTTTTAAAACTGAATTTCAATGATGGATGAAAAGGTAACCAAAATACCACATTCTGTTTACCTATTCATCCATCCATGGACATGTAAGTTTTTTCTATCTTTTGGCTATTATGTATAATTTTTCTGACACAGCAAATGAAACTGTGGCTATAAAGAGATTACAAACAGCTCTAAAAATATTAGTGTAGAATGACTAGAAAGATCCAGGGATCTCTAAACAAATGAATAAAATTTTAGCAAAATTCTTCTATTTTGTATCAACTGGGCTTAAAATTAATAGAAATGTAAATACAAAATATTGAAAACTGAAAAATACAGAGCACAACTTATTACAAAGTAAGCTACAAATGAAGGAATAAAGCTATAATAAATAGATTTTTGCATATTACTTATAAGACAACGTAAGTATACTATTAACAACTATTCTAAGGGCTATTCTTTTTTTTTTTTTTTTTTTTTAAGAGACAGAATCTCACTTT